TTTCAATTAATTAATTTTAAAGATAATACTCATTCTATATTGGTCAGTATACATAAATCCTCAGTTTTTTTTAAATTAATAAAATACTGAGCCTTATTTTGAAGCGATATTTTGCCATGTATAGATAAAATTTCAATGAACAAATCCTCTGTTGTTATTGCTGATATGACAAACCTCAAAAAACCCATGTAAAATCCATGTCTCTGAAATGTCTCTTGAGAATACCATGTGCATAGGACCAGTTAATTGGATAGGGAAGGAGATCTATTAAGTATGATAGGTATTTTTGAATTTTTGGTTCCATCATAAAACTTTCCTACTTAACACACACATGTGATAAATTATATAAGCAACAGTCATAAACTAATGGGAGTCATCAGATATAATGTGATATTATGGAGTATGCCACCATTTACAGATTCAGATTTGACATTGTTTATTTACTTTAGTGAAAACTATGACATACATAAAGGGAAAATAGACCATTTCCCAATCCCCAAAAGACATCAAACACTAAAACGAGCAGTGAGTGATTTATCTTTGGGCCTTGCATTTCACATCAATGGGGAAGATCCATTAGTACCTTTGTGTGGAAGCTGCTGTAACAGACAATCAAGAACGATCATTTCATTGAGAACCCACATTCTCCAGGCAGCTGTTGCTTGTTTGTGCTCAAATAAGTCAGGGGACAAGGAAGAGCACAAAACCAAAACAGGGGCCAAATCAAAGAGTAAACTGAATTGTATCTCAACCCCACGAAACTTAAAATATACCATAGTCTCTGAATATAGAATTTCTTGACGAACTTTACTTTTTTAAAAAATTACCCTAACAAATTTATGCTATAATAAAATCATCTGAGGTCAGCTAAAATGGTTTTATGGATATAGTGAGAGGGCATTATTTTGAAGTTATGCTGGAGGCAAAGTGACAATGGTGAAGGCTGTGCATACAAGAAATTACGTTTTGATCTCCTCACACTGATATTAGTTCCAGTATCTTAACTTTTTAAGATTAAGATACTAAATCCATTTTCAATTATTTCATTAAGAAAAAAACTAAAAACCCAATTTTATGTATATTTTTCTTTTGAGTGCTTCACCCCCCAAAAAGCAGTAATATTGTAAAATATTTATTCCATTAGTTTCATGTAATTGAAATGCCAACAGCTAAGCACTTAATCTCTGCCGGCAGAGAGAGCTGCCTGCTGTCACTTTTTATTAAGTCTTTTTCTGCTGCTTTTTCATAGTCGATAACAGTGTCTGAACCCAAGAGAAGATATAGAGTAACATTTAAACAGCAGTCTATGATAAGGTACTGTTTACATTCGGGATAATATGAAAATGTCCACTCTAGAGTGGCAAAGATTTTTCTTCAGGTTAACTAATTAGAATGTTTATTAGCTTCATTCGTTATTCTGACAGGCTCGGGGATTGCTAAACATTATTAACTTCTTAAGCACCTTATTCTCTAAAGAGCTTTGTCTGCTGAAATCTGGACAGGTAGATTTTGGCAGCACTTGATGTTTATCTTCCCATGCCTACAATAGCACAAAAACAGAATACAGAGCATTCATTCTTAGTACCTTCGGGGCACGGAAGGGGCCTTCAGTAACTCCTCTCATCATTTTTATGTCACCCTTCACAACTCTGCCTAGTTAATGTACAGCCTTCCCAGCTGGACTCGAATCAGTGACTTATCATCATAGTAAATGGACAGAAAAGAAATCTGTCTTTAGAGGCACTAACTGAAAGGGGACAGGTATATTTCTGCCTCAAGGGGCAATAAGCACATAAGCAGAGCTTCCAACCTCTTACGATCTGGGACACCATGGTGAGAAGTAAACCTCTGAGAAATCTGCATCTTTAGTCATAAAACAAGAAAATTCTGTATCTTTTATTTGAGCTATGCTTAGCTTGTGTTTTCTGCCATATACGAATGTTTATTATTCTCAGCATCACAACTGGAGACAGAAATATACATCTGTAACTAATTTTTAAAGCCTCTCACCAATGCACCAGGAAAAGGAAAATGAATTTTAGAGTCAAAATGACTGGTCTTCCATACATATTAGCTGTGTAATATGAGTCAGATTATTTGGACTCTCTGGGCTTCAATTTTCTCACCTATAAAATAAAAGTAGCATCTATTTTGTGGACCTATTGTCAGGATTGGGAGAAATGGAAGGCAGTGTAGACAAGTGGTTCAACCATGGACTTAGCAGTTGAACTCTGGCTTTGATTCTTAGCTTTACTCTATGCTAAGTTCATGGCCTTTGTAGGAGATCGTTCTGTGTTTCGTGGGCCCAGCTCCCACTCGGAGATGCATAAGACCCACGCTCATAGATAGGATCTCCCATGGGGAATCAGGCCTGCAATGTGCCTCGGCCACTTTGAGTCTTGCTTTTTGCTAAAAAACTCCCTCACCCGGATCTGTGGATCTGTGGCAAACATTTACTGCAAAATAACTTTAAAAAATCCATGCCAAACCTTCCTAGGTCCGGTATAACCTGTCCAACCACTTTTGCCCTTTTCATTTGCAAATATCCCTCTTCTGTGATGTGATTAGCAGCAGTGGCTCCTTTGTTTTCTGTAAAAGGGAACCACCTAAAGCAACCTGTGCATAGTAAATGAGGACCATCTTGTAATGTGCGGAGAAACCCAATAAAGGCTGGTCCCAGCAAGGGCCTGGGCTTTCGCTCCCCTTGAGGAAAAAACCATGCTGTCCCTTTTCCTCCACCCAGACTCGGTAGTCCGTGTGAATGTTTCATGTCATTCATAATGACACAGACACTTCAGGCAGGTGTCCGCATCAGGCCTTGGGCAAAATATATGACGTGTCTAAGCCCCTATAATCTCATGTGTGACACATGAATAATCATAATCATAGCACCCACTGCTCAGGATGAGAAATTTATTAATGCAACAGCTATCTTTTCTGTGACTCATCATCTAGAAACTAGGACATAGTAGAAAATTTAAAAAACAATCTGCCCTCATGGAAATTATACTCTAGTAAGAAAAGACAAAACAAACAAAATGAATGGTAAAATTATATAGTATTACTTGAAAAAGTAATAAATTTTTCTATGGAGAAAAATAAAATAGGAAAGTAGCAGTTAAATGTAAAAAGTTTAGCTTAGTGCATAGAACTTGGAAAGTACAAAAAATAGTCTTCATTTCTCAGTCTATAGTAAACATTTCCCAAAATGTTACCATCAATCATTTTTCCTTTCATATATCTGAGTTCCCCAAATATTTTATGTTTGAGGAAGAAGTGAAAGCCAAAACCTACATTAATAGAGAATGAACTTTTTCAGAGCTTTTTGGCAGGCAGCTCTTACCCATATAAGGGCCACTTAAAAACATAAGAACAAGAAATAGTCTTTCATTTCAATTCATGATGAGGCTTAAAATGCAAATGTCTCATTGAGGTATCATTCTTAGTGAGAGTGAGGTGCTGTAGGAAAATAAATTATAAACAAACACACTTAAAACTCATTAGTTGTTCCCTGTTTTGAGCTAGAAAGAGAAGTGAAATTAACTATACAAGAGTTACTCATCCAAGCCTAAAGAGTAAGAAGAGTAAATCTTTTTAGAAACTGAAGTGCTGTGAACTCTCCAGCCTCTGTGTGAAGAGAACAGTACGTATCTACTAGGGATTTTGTTGAGGGGAGTATGGTAGTGCTGAGAGAAGATAAAAGAGTTTGTGGAGCTCTGCCTGGTCTGGCTCAGTGAATTGAGGGCTGGTCTGCGAACAAAAGGGTCACTGGTTCAATTCCCAGTCAGGGCACATGCCTGGGTTGTGGACCAGGTCCCCACTAGGCGCACATGAGAGTCAACCACACATTGATGTTTCCTTCCCTCTCTTTCTCCCTCCCTTCCCCCATCTCTAAAAATAAATAAAACCTTTTAAAAAAGAGTTTGTGGAGAGATTTAATGAAGTGGGAAATCTATAGGAGGATCTTAGAGAAATCTATAGAAGAAAGGGACTCTTTGGGGCCAAGGGGGAAAAATTTAGAAAAAACATTGTCCTCATAGTGTAGAAAACACAGCACAAAGAGACTGCCTGTGAGACAAGTATAAATGGCACCACTGGCCCAGATGTTAGCATCTTCACAGAGGAATTCAGCCAGAGCTCCATGGTAAAGCACAAATGGGACCAGAGCAGAAACATACCAGGCAACCATTGGAAATCAGAAATAACTGGGAGGATATTCACTGGGAAGAATTGTTGTGAGGCAGGAAACTGACGAGATAATATTGGAACCTACCATGATTACTTTTGTAGTGGAAGTTGGTATATTTTTCTGTAAATCAATTTTGGTATTTCGTAGCTAGATTTTCTTAATTTCTAAAAAAATTATGAAAGTCATTCTGTGCAACAATGAGTTATGAAGATATCAGCTGAATTTAAATAAAATAAAATTATGTACAGTTATCTTCTATAAACCATGATCAACTTTACGTGTTTCTTAAAGAACAACCCCCTACCCCTCACACATACATACATAAGTCTTTGTTAAAATACATAAAGACAAAGGTTAGCCTCCCCACCATGTACAGGAAATAGAAACTAAGGTTGCCCACTCAATGCTATTGGCTTAAGTTAGTGTTCATGGGGAGAATGCAGCTTCTGCATTACTTCCACAAACTGGCAGCTGCATTATCTTACTTTGCTGTTCCTTCTTTAACTAGTCATTCATTCCTCATTCCTCCAGGTGACTAGAGATTAGTGACTTGGGAGAAATGGCAAAAGGATCTGCATATCCCTCTTTCCCTATCTTTTTGGAACAAGGTGAAGTCTCCTCTGTTTGGTTGTAAAGGAAGGCCTGCCTGGTCTAGTGCTTGGGTAAAAATCTGCCTAATTCTAGGATTTGATTTTAGGAGTTTATTTTTTCCTTCTTTCTTTATTTTTTAAATTGTTCAAATACAGTTGTCTCCATATTCCCCCCCACTACTCTTCCTCCCCCTCTCTTTCTTTCTTAGGAGCATACTTACCTATGGAAAGCACGTGCTCACCACTGCTTTCTCCCAGGCAAAAAATCACAAGATCAGGTCCTGACTAGCATTATCAGAGGAAATGAATTCAAGCTCAAGCTTCTGGAACATTGAGCAAGGAGTCTGTAAAATGAACAAAAAGAAGCAAAGACAAGTAGATTATGAAATTTTGTAGAAAAGCAAAGGACTTGGGAGAAGCTAAACAATTTTGAAAGGTATTAACAAATTTAGAGAACTCATACTACTTAATTTCAATATTTACTATAAAGCTACAGTAGCAACAAGAGTGTATGTCTGTCATAAGGGCAGATAAATGAGTATAAATCAATGTTACAAAATAGCGTGCCCCCAAATAGACCCACACATGTATGAGCAATTGATTTTGACAAAAGTGCTAAGTAAACCAATGGAGAGAAAACAATCTTTCAAACAAATAGTGGTAGAATAGTCAAACACCCAACAACCCAGTAGAGAGAGAGAGAGTAGTGTCGAGGGTGGAGATGAGAGAGAAAGAAAAAGAAAACATAAAGAAATCTAGGAAAAATGTAGAAATATTTCTCACCTTAGATTAGGCCAAAGTTTTATTAAGACCACAAAAAGTCTTATTAGAATACACACACACACAAAATATTCACCAAAATTAAAATACCTGCTGTTTCAATGACTCTCATAAAAAATGAAAACAAAACAAAAAATAAGCTGTAGACCAAGAGAAAATATTTGCCAAATATTTTGCTCCTATCTGAAAAACAATGTGAATCTAAAATATATAAATCATTTTCAAAATTTAGTCAGAATAAGCAATACAATAAAAATTAAGTGAATGGTTTGAACAAATATTTCACCAGAAAAATATTTCACAAATAAGCATATGAAAAGATGCTTAATATTTTTAAACATGAGAATACAACTACATAAATATTAAAGTGACTTAGAATAAAATGAGAATACCAATTACAGTTCAGAGCAATGGAAATTTTCTAACATTGCTGATAGAAATGAAAAATGGCACAGCATCTTTGGAAAATAAGTAAGCACTTGCTTATGATTTTAAATACATACATGTCCACAAGACTCAGTTGCCCTACTCCAAGGTAAATGCATTACCCAAGATAAATAAAAACTTGTGTTTACACAAAGACTTACAGATGAATGTTTATAGCACCTTTACTCAATTTCCCAAAACTGAATGCAAGTCAAATGCATATCAGTAGGGGAGGAGATGGATAAACAAGTTGTGGTACATCCCATAATAAAATACTACTCAGCAAGAACAAGGCACAAATTACTGATGTCATAAAAATGTGAATAAATCTCAAAAACATTCTAATGTAAGTGAAAGAAGTTACATACAGAAGGCTATGTACTATGTACTCTCATTTACATGATACTCTATAAAAGGCAAAACTCTAGAAATAGAAATTAGGTTAGTGACTGCCAAGATTTGGGCCTTGGAGAAGGGATTCATTATGAAAGAGCATGAGGGACATTTCTGGGTTTCATATGACGATTGTGGTGGTGACTACACAACTGTATATTTTTGTCAAAATGCGGGACTATATACTCAAAAGGGTAAATTTTACTGGATGTAAATTATACCTCAATAAAATTCATTTCTAAAATACAAAGAAATGACATTTAGGGGAGCCAATAAATAAAGGGCAGTTGTGACTTCCTGTGTGTCAGGATGCAGGTTGTTTAAGTTCTGCTGGTACTTTACTGGGCTATAAAGGGTTTTAACCTCATCCATTTGTAAAGTTTATTCTAGGTTATGAGGCTAGATTTTTATAGTTGGGCATTTTCAGTGGTGGCCGCAACCTCTCCTATTGGCTTGAAGAAATTATTGTTTTCATCTTTTTCCAGCTTCATGTTTATGAACCTTGTGTTTGTCACCTTAAATTCACCATGGAAATTGGCAAACATTATAAACCAGATTGGGGATGGGGACTGATCTTCAGAGAGTTGGTGTTAAACATTTACCAGCGCATTACTGAATATTTGGCTTTTTTCTGTTGTTACATTGTCACCTTGGCCAGGATCCGGAGCCAGGGGCCTTGGAATTTCCATCTTGCTGAGTATCTACAGTTAAGATAGTTTTGTCCACAGATGAGGACTATTTGAGGAAGAATGTAGCTGCAAAAACAAGACTTTAAACTGTAGGGCTTGGCAAAAACCTTACTAAAAATGCAGGAACAGGTTGGCCTCAGGAAAGCAATAGTGTGGAATGCCAAGCTTCAGCAAAGACATCAGCCAGAGGTGAGGGCAGAGATGTGCCCATCCAAGCACTGGCCCCAAAGCTGATCTCCACAGCTGGTTATGAGGGCCTAGCAAGGAAAGGCTGTGTATTTGACCTTTAGCAGGTTCCATCAGCTCTGGGTTCAGCTGCCATAACTTTTCCTATGCTATACTGGCTCAATTTTTCCTACACAGTTACAAAAAAGGTAAAATTTAAAAATATTTTTACTGTTGTTCAAATACAGTTTTCTGCCTTTTCCCCTCACCTCTCCCAACCACCCCAGCCCTCCTCACCTCCCTCCCCTGTTTCCGCCCCTCCTTGTTATTGTCCATGTGTCCTTTATAATTGTTCCTGCAAAACCTTCACTCCTTTCCTCTATAATCCCCTCCCCTCTCCCCTCTGGTTATTGTCAGCATGTTTTCAATTTCAGTGTCTTTGGTTATTTTTTGCTCGTTTGTTTGTTTTGTTGATCAGGTTCCTGTTAAAGGGGAGATCGTGTGGTGTTTGTCTTTCACCACCTGGCTTATTTCACTTAGCATAATGCTCCCCAGTTCCATCCAATGCTATCACAAAGGGTAGGACCTCCTTCTTTCTTTCTGCTGCATAGAATTCCATTGTGTAAACATACCATAGTTTTTTTATCCATTCATTTACTGATGGGCACTTAGGTTGCTTCCAGCACTTGGCTATTATAAAATTTTAATGGTAGAGAAGAATCTATTCTAATGCAAACCATTTAGACACTGTGATGCATGTAGTATTTACTGATGTTAAAATGCAAGGAAGTCATGCTCTGTCTCACAGAGATCATTTCTAAGGTTCTAAGTTTATATCACTAGTACTAGGAAGAGCAAAGAGAAAAAAAATATTTAAAAGTGAAGAATACACCAAAAATTAAATACTTAGATATAAATCTAAAAATATATGTATAATATTTATATGAAGAAAACTACAAAATACTAATGAATGAAGTCAAAGGAAAATTAGATAAATGGAGAAATATTCCATGTTCATGAATAGGAAGAATCAATGTTGAAATACCAATTCTTCTCAGTATTGCCTGTGGATTCAATGCAACCCCAGTCAAAATCTCAGCAAGTTCTCACACTTGTTCTAAAGTTTATATGAAAAGGAAAAAAAAACACATAAAAGTCAATACAAAATTGAAAAAAACTAAGTTGGAAAACTAACAGTATCCAAATTCCAGACTTACTATAAAACTGTGGTAATTAAGACAGTGTAGCTTTGGCAAAGAATAAACAAACTGATCAATAGAAAAAAATAGACAGCCAAGAAATAGATCCCCTTAACACAGTCAACTTGTCATTGACAAAGAATCAAAGACAATACAATGGAGCAAAGACAGTTTCTTCAACAAATAGTGTCGGGACAACTGGATACCCACATGCTAAAAAAAGTGAACCTAGGCACAAATTTTACACCTCTCTTAAAATTAATTCATAATGTATTACAGACTTAAATGTAAAAGACAAAACTATAAAACTTCTAGAAGATAACATAGGAGAAAACTTAGATGACCTTGGGGATGTTGATACTTTTAACATACATTAAAGACATGACCTATGAATAAATAATTGATAAGCAGGACTTCTATGAAATTAGAAACTTCTTTGTGAAAGACAATATCAAGAGAGTGAGAACACAAATCGCAAGTTGATAGAAAATATTTTCAAAGGACATATCTGATAAATAAGTGTATCCAAAATATAAAAAGAACTCTTAAAACTCAACAATAACAAAACAAACAACCTAATTTTAAAATGGACAAAAAATCTGAAGATGCACCGCCAAAGAAGATAGATAGATGCCAAATAAGCATGTGAAAATATGACATTATATGTCATCAGGGAAGTGCAAATTAAAATAGTAAGATATCACTACAAACCTATTAAAATAGTCAAAATCTGGAATGCTGACAACACAAAATACCAGAGAGTATGTGGAGCAACAGGAACTCTCATATATTGCTGAGGGAAATGCAAAATGGTGTAGTCACTTTGGAAGGCAATTTGACAATTTCTTACAAAACTAAACATAACTTTACTATATGATCCAATAATTGTACTCTCTGGCATTTACACAGAGATTGAAAATTTGTGCCCACACAAACACCTATACATGGATATTCATAGCAGCTTCATTAATGATTGCCAAAACTTGTGAGCAACCAAGCTGCCCTTCAGTAGCTGAGTGGATGAATAAACTACGAAACACAGACAGTAGAATGTTATTCAGCACTAAAAAGAAATGAACTATCAAGCCATAAAGAAATATGAAGGAAACTTAAACACATATTACTAGATGAAAGAAGCCAATCTCTAAAGGCTACAAGCTGTAGGATTTCAATAAAATGAAAAGGCAAGACTATAGAGACAATAAAAATATCAGTGGTTAGCACTGGTTGATGAGGAAGATGAATAGGCAGAGCACAGAGAAATGTTTAAGACAGTGAAAATACTCTTTACCATATTGTAATAATAGATATATGCCACTATGCATTTCTTCAAACCCGTAGAGTAAATTCCAAGAGTAAACGCTAAGGTAGACTACGGACTTTTGATGATAATAATGTGCCAAGTATCATTGGTAAAATAGGTACCATTCTGGTGACTGATGTTAATAATGAGGGGGGATATGCACATTTGGGAGCAGGAATAACAGGGGAAATCTCTATATCTTTCTCTCAATTTTGTGGTAAACCCACAGCTGCTCTAAAACCAAACTAACTCTTTAAAAAAGCAAAAGGGATACTTGAAAAGAAGGAAAGAAACCTCAAAAAAGTCCCAGTGATTGCACACACCATCAGGGCAAATTTCTAAACTTAATAAAGTAGCAGAAGACACAGGATAATAGATGAATTTCTTCT